CCCCTCAGAATGCCTGAATTCATCAACTGTACTCTGGCCCGAGGCCTAGATGATCAGAACAAGCTTTCACCACGAGTGCAAGGCCAAGAGATACACATCTGCTAGACAGACCTCCATGGTCTCCCCTCATATGGTCCCACCTCCACGGAGGGGCCCACAAGAGGCAGTGCAAAGGGGGAGCAGATCTTTGCTGAGGAGATGAAGGAGTCTGGAAACCCTTCAACAGGGGTTGCGTGAATAAACTCATGAGAAAATACCAACTTTACAGGGTGAATCAGGACAAGGTGCTTAAAGAGTGTCAAACAGGCTTCATTAGCAAGGACCTAAAAAACACCAAAAGCTCACATTCTTTTGGATATTAGAACATCACAAAGCAACCCAGAGTATACATGGGAGTTTTGAGAATTTGTTTACTACAGAGAACAGATCCGTGGTTGCCAGCGGTGGGGGGTGGGCAAAATGGGTGAAAAGGGGGTCAAAAGGTACATACTTCTAGTTATAAAATAAACAAGTCATGGGGATGTAATGTACAGCACGGTGACTATACTGTATTGCATATTTAAAAGAAAATAAATAATAAATAATAAGAAAATAAATCTTAAATTTCTCATCACAAGAAAAAAAGGCTGTAGTTATGCATGGTGCCAGATGTTAGCCGAATTTCTGTGATCACTTCTCAGTATATACAAATATGGAATCACACTGAACACCTGAAAAGAATACAACATTGTATGTCAATTATACCTTAATAAAAAAAATTGTATTCTCTAACTTCCATCTTGTTTGCAGCTTTAACTAAGCATGTGCTATTTTGGTAATTCTTGGTTAACATTTTTGTTTACTACCATGAGGTACCATGAAATGGCTCCCTGCACCTCCGTGCACTCCTTCCTCTGAGGTTAAAAAAAAAAAAAGCAAAACACTGAAAAAGCATCTGAAGACTTCAACAGAAGAGCGCCCGGTGTGACCCCATTAAATTTAGTTCACGGGAAGGTGAAACTGTCAATGGTGAGAGGCCGTGACAGTGGCGACCCTCAGAGTGGCTGACTAGGAGGGGCTATGAGGAAGGGCTGTGGGGACTGGAAACGCTCTCTGCTCCAACCGGGTGGGGGTTACAGGGGTGTGCACATCTGTGAACATTCTCTGAACTCTGTACTCATGATATTTGCACTTTGTTGTACTGTAAGTAAAAAAATTTTAAATTGGGGGGAATCCTTGAGCATGACTGGAATTTGCCCTGCAGACAAAGGCTCTGGGGGAGAGTAAAAGGTCCCACAGCCGTATCCCAATCCCCTTCCAAACCATGAACAGAGTATGAAAAGCCAGGGGCCAGGGTAACCAAGTCTAGCTTTGCTACTAATTATGTGCAACTCCCACGATCCATAATGGCTGCAGGGTCCACACTGGCAATGAGAGAGTTAGCACTTTCCAGTCCTGAGATCCTCTGATTCTCGATTTACCCTCCAGGTTTAAAACCCTCCCTCTGTGCTTTGTACAAGGGAGAGTTTTACGTCCCAAACCTTTCGTGGTCAGATGTACACGACCGCATCATCAAACTGAAAATAGACCCAGGGACCCTCACCAAGGCTGCTTCTCTTACCTTGACCACCTGGTCTTCCTACCCACTGCTTGTCAACCCTGTGCTAAACCAACTGATAGGAACCAGGTTGCAGCAAGCCTGTCCCCACCTCCTATCTTTCCACACCAAGAATTGCAGAAAACGGCAGACTTGATCTCCCCAGGGACAGGGTCACTCAGTGCCGGGAAAACTCAGTGAACCCCCAAGGACCGGGCAGCTGCATCACACTTCTGTTCCCAGAGAGGGCAGCCGGACCTTGGCAAGAGAACACTGTTGTATGTTTTTGCCGATGACTGTAGACAGGAATTACTACAAATGGTCCATCTCTGTTGTTTTTATTGAACTATATTTGTACGCATCTGTGTGTGTGCGCACAGGTGCCCAGGACCACATGGCATGTGACAGTCACAGTCACAGTGCTGACAGGTGTGGACCACGAGTGATCAGCTGGTCCCAACTCTTACTCAGGAGCTGGGTGATCTTTCTCCCCAGTTGTCTGATGACCTTGGGACTTCAACTTCCTCTGAAGAACAATGAGGAGACTTAGACCAACCAAGACTCTTAGAACTGACCCTTCCAGAGCCCTTGAGAAAGAACCGGGTGGGAGTGAGCAGGCAGGGTGCTATCTCTGTCTGATGATACAGACAAATAATATCTACAATTACAACTTTTAACAGCTTTCATAGCCACTCTTCCCTCAGTGACTGTGGAAGTAAAGCAAAGGTCCTAGGGGCAGGGGACAGTAGGAGGCTGGGCAATGAAACTGGGTCAAATTGATGGCAGTTCCACTAAAGCAAATGTTAAGAATTGGAATGATTAAAAAATGAGGATTGGGATTCTCCATTAAGCATCTTAAGGACATGAAGAAGGACACTGAAAGATAAAGGAGAACCCTCTAAAAGAGTAAGGGAAACTGGTCTAAAAAGTTTGGGGACATCTCTGGGCCTCAGTTTCTCAATGAAGGGTCTGGACTCACAATTCTCAGAGCCTTCCTCCCCAGACAAGTGACCAGCTCACTGCCAGAGGCAAGCGGTTACACCTGTCTGCTCTTCCCAAGGTAAACAGCAAATAGTAAAAGGATCTTACCTGGTGTTTAATTGCCGCTGAAGTTCTAAAACACTGGATCTGTTTATCAGCAGATACTGGGCCTTATTCACCAGAGAAAGGGTGGCTGTTGTACAAGCAGGTTGATCTAAAAGTGATGGAGCAGTCAAAAGAAGAGTTGCCAGATAAGGAAACAACCTAAGTGCCCATTGGAGGATGAATGGATAAGGAAAACATGGTTATACACACACACACACACACACACACACACACACAATGAATATTATTCAGCCATAAAAATGAAATCTGACCATTTGCAGTAACATGGATAAATCTTGAGGGCATTATGCTAAGTGAAAAGTCAGACAGAGAAAGACAAATATTGTATGATCTCACTTACATGTGGAAACTAAAAAAAGCCAAAGCAAACAAACAAAGTAAAACACAACAAAACAAAACAAGCTCATAGATACAGAGAACAGGTTGGTGTCTGCCTGATGCAGGGAGTTGGGGAGAGCGAAATGGGTGACGGGGGTCAAAAGGTACAAACTTCTAGTTATAAAATAAATAAGTTTGGGGGATGTAATGTATAGTATGGTGACTATAGTTAATAATACTGTACTGCAAATTTGAAAGTTGCTAAGAGAGTAAATCTTGAAAGTTCTCATCATAAGAAAAAAAATATCTAACTGTGTGATGACGGATATTAACTAGATTGATTGTGATGATAATTTTGTGATATATACAAATATCAAATTTTTATGTTGCACGCCTGAAATTAATATAATGTTGCATATCAATTATCCCTAAATTTAAAAATTAAAATAAAATAAACTTGAAAAGAAGAGTTGCTTCCTTGGAATGCAAATGAATCGTGCTTCCATTGTCTTGCATTTTTTAGAAGTAGAGACTATTTTTATAAGGGAAAAAAATGGTGCCCTGGTAATAATAAAACTGTTCTCAGCATGGCTCAAGCTTCTCAGAAACAGAAAGAAAATGAGCTCCTAGAATATTCTGTTAGTAACCTGGAAAGAAATAATAAAATGCTGAAGTTAAATTGTTCCAGCAAAGGAAAGCTGGAAGCGACACTTAGAAGGTCACGGGCCCAGGCAGATCTGCTGAATCTGGTCAGGGAATCTAGTCAGAGAAAATCTGGGTGTTGCCATTGGGCGAGTGTGTAATGTTGACTTTGGAAATAAATAATACAAGTTTTTAAACTACTGAAAGGAGCAGGGAAAAAAAGAGTAAAAAAATATCCAGGCCGTCCACAACCAGGGCGGCCTGTCACCCAGGTTCCGTCTTCCATTTGTTGTGTACGCCACAAGACGTTGATAAAAAGGGTTGTCTGGACCCCAACCAAGTGAGCTGGCTCCAGAGCAGGTCTGTGGACATGGGAGTACCTGAGATTGGAGACTTCCAAGAGAATCGCTTTCTGGATTCTCCACTTCCATGTCTTCTTTGCTAACATGGCCCTGTCGGAG